TCCAACAAGGTATCATCTGCCCAAGCAGATCTCCCTTTTCCTCACCCGTCTTTCTAGTTAAAAAATGAGGGCACATGGCAGTTTTGTGTTGACTACATAGAACTCAATTCCAGAACCGTTAAGGATAAGTTTCCAATTCCTGTCATCGATGAGTTGTTAGACGAGCTTCATGGGTTCAATTTTTTATATAAATGGACCTGCGCTCGGGATAACACTAGATCCGCATGGGAGAAGAGGATATTGAAAAGACAACCTTTCAAACTCATCATCGACACTTTGAATTTTTAGTGATGCCGTTTGGACTTACGAATGCTCCATCCACGTTTCAAGGCCTCATGAAAGACATTGTTGCACCATACCAATGAACGTTTGTCCTCATCTTCTTTGATAACATACTCATTTATAGTAAGTCTTGGGTCGAACACGTCTATCATGTTCATCTTGTCTGGGAAACTTTGCGCACCCATGGCCTTTCCTTAAAAAATCCCAATGCAATTTTGGCGCTCTACAGGTACAATACCTTGGTCATATTATCCATATCAACGGCGTTGGGGCTAGCTCGTTATTAGCGAAAATTTATTCACCATTAATGTGAGATTGCCGGCCCACCCACATAATTGCTGAAGAAGAGTGCTTTTAACTGCACCGATGCCACAAAACAAGCATTCAACGACCTGAAAGTGCGCCTCTCCTTGGCTCTGTTACTCCAATTGCCTAATTTTGATAAAGAATTTGTCGTTGAATGTGATGCATGCGGTACTAATTTTGGGGCAGTATTACAACAGGAAGGACATCCCATTGACTATTTTAGTAGAAAGATTGCTCTCCGCCACGTTAAACTCGCAGCCTATGAACGCGAACATTTTGGGGCAGTATTACAACAGGAAGGGCCCTTTTATTCCAAATGAATGTGCCTAAACAGTTTTGGGCGGATGTCGTGTCTACCGCATGTTTTTTGATAAACCGTATGCCGTCTTCTGTTTTAAATGGTAAAGCTCATTATCATTGCTCATTTCCAAATAAAGAACTTTTTCCTATCCCACCTAAAACATTTGGTTGCACTTGCTTTGTTAGAGACGTCAATCCTCATCTTACAAAGTTAGACCCCAAATCATTAAAATGTATTTTCTTGGGTTATTCTCGAGTTCAGAAGGGGTATATGTTTTTGTCCAAGTACTGGTCGATATCTTGTTTCCATTGATGCATCATTTCATGAAAATACACATTTTTCATCATCCAAGACAGATATTCATGGGGACAATGATGAAATACTCATTTACTCTGTCATTATACCGGAATCTACACCTTCGGTAGTTATTCCACATGTTACTGTTCCCGACCCAAGACCTCCAGTACACTTGGTTTACACCCGTCGGAACAGAGCACCAGATCACCCTCCACATGTGACACCTGTGATTACTTATCCTGATATTGATCCGACTTTGATCTCATGTCCTGAACCAGTGCATGCATCTTCAGATCTTGTCTCTACATCAGATCTTGATCTTCCGATAGCACTACGTAAAGGTACACGGTCTTGTACTCACCCTATTTCTTCATTTGTGTCGTATAGTCAGTTATCCCCCGCCTCATGTTCTTTTATTGCTTCCATCGATTCTATTTTTGTTCCCAAATCTGTTAAAGAAGCTTTATCTCATCCTGAATGGCGTCATGCCATGGTAGAGGAAATGAATGCTTTGGATCTTAATGGTACTTGGGATTTGGTAGACTTGCCTACAGGGAAGAAGTCTATTGGATGTAAGTGGGTCTTTGCTGTTAAGGTCAATCCAGATGGATCTATTGCTCGGTTGAAAGCCCGATTAGTTGCGAAGGGTTATGCTCAAACCTATGGTGTTGATTATTCTGACACTTTTTCTCCTGTTGCTAAATTAACATCCGTCAGGTTACTTATTTCACTCGCCGCAACTCATGATTGACACTTCCATCAGTTGGACATTAAAAATGCATTTTTGCATGGTGACCTTCAGGAAGAAGTTTACATCGAGCAGGAAGAAGTTTACATCGAGCAACCTCTGGGGTTTGTTGCTCAGGGGGAGTATGGTAAAGTTTGTCGACTTCGCAAATCTCTTTATGGCCTGAAACAGAGTCCTCGTGCATGGTTTGGGAAGTTCAGTCGATCAATTGAACATTTTGGAGTGATAAAAGGCAAATCAGATCACTCTCTCTTTTACAGACAAACGAAAGCAGGTATCACATTGCTTGCGGTGTATGTTGATGATTTTGTGATTATCTTCATAGCCAGTTCCAGACAAAAGATCTAGGCTCATTGAAGTACTTCTTGGGTATTGAGGTAACACGGAGTAAGAAAGGCATATTTCTATCTCAACGAAAATATGTACTTGATTTGCTAGCTAAAACAGGGAAATTGGGATCAAAGCCGAGCAATACTCCCATGTTTCCCAATGTGCAACTCACTCAAGAAGGCATGCCGTTTGAAGATCCAGAAAGATATAGAAGATTGGTTGGAAAGCTTAATTATCTCGCAGTCACTCGTCCAGATATTGCTTACTCTGTGAGTGTAGGGAGTCAATACATGTTATCTCTGACCATTGATCATTGGGCTGCTGTAGAACACATATTATGTTACTTAAAGGGAGCACCAGGACGAGGTATTGTTTATCAAAACCATGATCACATGAGAATAGAATGCTTTGCAGATGCTGATTGGGCCGGTTCTAAAGATGATCGAAGATCTACATCTGGCTATTGCGTCTTTGTTGGTGGTAATCTTGTATCATGGAAGAGTAAGAAACAGAATGTGGTTTCTCGTTCTAGTGCTGAATCGGAATATCGAGCAATGGCACAATCCGCATGTGAGATAATATGGATACACCATTTATTGAATGAAATCGGATTGAAGACACCAATGCCTGCTCAGTTGTGGTGCGATAACCAAGCTTCTATACACATAGCAAACAATCCCGTATTTCATGAGAGAACAAAGCATATTGAGGTTGATTGTCATTTTATTCGAGAGAAGATACAAAAAGGATTAATCTCTACTGGATATGTGAAGACTGGAGAACAACTTGGAGATTTATTCACTAAAGCTCTAAATGGGATTCGAGTTGATTACTTATGTAACAAGTTGGGCATGATAAATATCTATGCTCCAACTTGAGGGGGAGTGTGAGAGTATTATTGTATCTGAGAATATGCTTTAGGAATATACTCTAGATATTATTATTGTATAGCATCTTATATAGGAATATTCCATCTTTGTAATATATATATATATATATATATATATATATATATATATATATATATATATATATATATATATATATATATATATATATATATATATATATATATATAGGGCCTTAACCCTCCAATGAAATACACAGAAAATCCTTCTCTTCATCTTTAATACTACGTATTATTCTTGATTATATTTCAACACAGGTGTTGGAGCGCATTGGCCAAACTGCTTACTAACTCCAACTGCCAGCCACTGCTCGTATCCATAATGTTTTCCATGTATGGAAAGAAGACCATTATTACTATCATCATTATTATTATTCATTATTATTATTAGTTTCCTAAAGTAAATTTCCTAAAGTATTAGGTGTTAGTAGAGATATTCTATTTTATTTAATTTCTCAATAAAAGTATTGTAATAGAATTAGGGTTACTCTAATACTAGACCACCAAGACTCTTGGGACTAGTATAAATAGAGGTGCCATATTAATGAATAAAATCATCAATCTTCTGGAGAATAATTCTTCTTGTGCGCTCGATTGAACTGACAGACACTTCCTTGGTAGGGTGGGAAGCTGTGTTATTTTTCCAACTGTGATACTTATCGTTCTTCTCTTTTTTATCTCCCAACCACGCGCGTAACAGGGCAGTCTTCCTCTAGAGCCTTGCACTTTGGGCGCCAAAAATCCCGGGCAATTCTTCACAGCCGTTTCTGAAATGGAAGCTGAGAGATTTAAGTGCAGTGGCAGGGGCAGCAATTAGACAAGGCAACATGGGAGCCACTTGATTCCTTCCAGACGAGATATCCTGCTTTCAAGCTTGAGGACAAGCTCTTGGTCAAGGAGAGGAGTGATGTTACCGACTAGTTGTATGGCTGCACTTATTAACAAAAAAGTCAGTTTGGAACAGATGAACTTAATGACCAAAGTGGCTAAGCGAAAGAATCAAGCAAGCAGTTAAAGTCCTAGTAGTATTAGGGAGTGTTTGCAACTGCTTCTGCTTAAAAAAAGCACTTGTGGAGTGATTGGGAAAAAGTGATAAGTAGTAAAAGTTGATAGTGTTTGAGAAAAAAGTGATTTTGAAAAGTAAAAGTTGGTAGTGTTTGATAAAATAAGTGCTTTTTGTGTAATAGAAAAGGGAAAAGCACTTTTCACACGCAAGCCGAGAAAAAGTAAAAATTGGTAGTGTTTGATAAATAAGTGTTTTTTTAAGCCAAAAGTTGAGAAGTTCTTTTTTTTAAGCTATTGCAAACACTCCCTTAGTATAAATATTAGTATTAATTTGCAAGCAATTAGAATCCTAGTAGTATTAGTATTAATATAAATATTATTGCTAATTAATCCTTCTTTAAGTAGTCTTCCTCTGTTTTTATTATGTTAGAATTCGAATAGCAGTTTAGTTTCCGATTTTGTTTTAGGAAACCCTTAACAACTATATAAGGGGATCTCAGTTAAGTTAGTGAATAGCTTTTGGGAAATTAACTTTGGGATTTCTTGACTAGGTCGGAGATCGGATTAATTCCGTTAAGCCCTTAATTTTCATTACTCTCTTTGTACTTGATTAAAAATTGATTAAGAAACATCTATGTCTTTCTGTGATCGTTTAGATCAGACTTCCCGCTCTCGGCTTTGGACTAGGTCACTTACTCGTGCCCTTAACAGAATAATTTATTCTATAGCTTAAGCTTTCCAACTATCGCCATTATCACTGCTCTTTGCAAAGTTAATGTGTAGAGTGAACAATACTATAACATCTTAGAACTTTTGAATTGCAGGTAATTGTATTTGAGCGTGGAGATCTGGTGTTTGTATTTAACTTTCATCCAGAGAAAACATATGAGGGGTACACTTGTCTCTCCAGTCTGATCAATTTTTTGTATATGAGAGTGTTTATGAATGTTATGCTGATTCGAAGCGCAAATTCAATCAAAACCAAATTAGAGGTGCAATTTCATACCCTTGTTTTGATCCTTAATTGAAACATGCCAGGTACAAAGTTGGATGTGATTTGCCTGGTAAATACCGAGTTGCTTTGGATAGCGATGCCTGGGCCTTCGGTGGACATGGAAGGGTGAGGAGGTTTATAATTTTATATATTAAGAGGTTTTTCCTAAAATAATTCTTAGACAAAAATCATAGACGAAAATATGACTTAGTAACTTCTAGTGACTATAATTGTGTTCAGAGTTACATCATATGCAACATTAATTCGTACTCCCGTCCTATGCATTAAGGTGATAATTAAAACTAGTAAAGCAAAGCTGAAATAGATTAATAGATATAGGGAACTTAGTCATTTATTAAAGTGATAATTGATTGTGTGACAAACATACATCCATTAATTTCCCTGTAATAAAAGTAGTAAAGCAAAACGTAATAGATATAGGGGAACTTTATCATTTTGGTACTCGTACTACTTTAGTGGATTGCTAAATGCCCACTTATGAACGCAATGTGATTAGTTAATGCGACAGTTATTGCGGGTAAAAGGGCATCATTAGCGTATTCAACTGTAAGGATTTTGCCTTTGGTAGAACATATACATATAAATAATGCCCACTAATAAATACCTATCAAAAAAATTGGAGTAGTTTTATATATTTGAAGGAAATGGTGCCAATGCACCCTTTATATAATGATATCTATGTGGCTGTAGATAAGCCTTAAGGTTTTTTAAGGTGCAAAAGTAATTGTAATACTTCCATCAAAGGACAACTCGAACTTTATCGACTTTAAATGTTAAAATAAATATATTTAAAAACACAAAAAGTTATTAAGTAGTATATTGAGTGGGCAAAAAAACTGTAACCTATATAACAAAAATAATAATATTTAATATGTATTGCTTTTAAAAATAACCTATACAACCATATTAAAATTTATGAAAAACTGTAATCTATGTGGAAAAATTTCTCTTGTATTAAATGCTTCTTTTTATATTTCTTGCATAGTAAGGTTAATATATTTTCAAGATAAAAGTTTTGTTAAAGTTTTAGTACAAGTTTAGAAATAATGACAAATATATGATTGAAATGAAGACAGTGGACAAAATTGTAGTTTTAATCCTTTAGTGACTATAAGAGTAACTTTAAGTGACTATTAGTGTGTTCAATTTAACATTTTTGTGACCATGATGGTATATTTAAGGAAAGACCTTTTAAATTTAAGGTTTGTGTGTCGCAAGATTCTAAAAAATGTGTTGCATTTTTAAAAGAATCATTGGTATAAACGCTAAATTTCTCTAAAAACAGTAATTTTTACTTCCCCCCCCCTTTTGCTCCCAATATGTGAATTAATTACCTCATGTTTTTTAAATAGATTTATTTTCGTTTAAAATCAATAAAAGTCAATCTGCCTTTGAAAATATTAAGGGTGTTTTTGCAATTTAAAAGACATTAGTGGCTTATCCCATATTGAGGGGGCGTGTTCACTGTTGGGCATATTAGCTTGTTTGATCAAGAAGGGATACAATCATACAAACGGGTAATGCATCCCTTTATAAGTGTACACACTTGAATACCAATTTGTACATGCCTTGTACACGCCTGTATATTCTATTTGTGTTATAGATAACTTTTGTATGAAGGATGTGTACAAATGGACGTGTACAAACATATTTTTCCTCATCTATTTGAGAGAGCGTGATGGACACATGTGTATGGATATATATGATGGACAGGTGGGCCATGATGTGGACCATTTCACATCACCTGAAGGAGTGCCCGGAATTCCAGAGACAAATTTTAATGGTCGTCCAAACTCTTTCAGAATACTCTCTCCTGCTTTGACATGTGTGGTAAGACCTCCCTATCCCCAAAAAATCAATCTAATCTCTACCTTTTAGTTCTATATTTGCTTAAGGGTCAAATAGACCTTTGTACTTATCACGGTTAACCGTATTCATCCGTAAAAATGAAATTTGAATGGTTTTTGTTAATTCAGGGTGCAAATATATATTTTTTTAGTTCAGGGAATCAAGGACTAAATTGAACAAACATGACAGACAGAGGGTCTATTTTTGAAATCGGGATAACCCCATTTAAACCGGGACATAGTTGTCATGGCGCATGGCAACGGCGCACATGCATTTTTTCCATGGCGATGGCGCAAACATGGCGTCGCCACGTGACAAAAAAAAAGAAAAACTAAAAGAAAAACAAAATATAGACACTTTATCTAAATTTCAGCTGAATCAGCCAAATCAACCGATTTTCGTGCTACCAAATTGGCTCTTAATGAGGTAATATGCGAGTGTCATCGCTTTTTATCTAGTTGAATCGCTTATGTTTAATAGAAACATTGTTGTGATTAGAAAGATAATTGTATGATCATTTTAAGCCAAAACCAAAACAATACCACTTTATCTAAATTATTGTATCACCCAACCACCATAATATGATAAAACAAGTTGAATAACAATATTCTAACCAAAACATGTGAAGTAAAATATCCTATGTAGGATTGAAAGTCGAATTAAGGATCGTAAATTGTAGGATTGTAACTCGGATAGTAAGATCCTATGTGTGTGTGTGTTCCTACAACATATGCATATGTATATAATTAGAAATTAAATATAATTCATTCATCGTACCAAATATTTTAGGTACTTAATAACTTCAAATAATCTATGAATAATAAAATAGCTTATGTAATCAATTAAACAGAATTAAAAGCTAAGTTATTTTACTTATTTATGAATAAGTAAACGACTATGTAATCCATTAAACATACGGAGTATATAAATGTAATAAGCTGTGTATATCTATAATTAACATAATATTCAAAGGTAACTTTATTTTGAATTATTAATAAAAATAAATTGTATTATAATGCCTACCAGATAATTCAGAATATTCAAATAAAAATAATAAAATGAATTAATTGTATATTGTATTAATAACAAGTTAAGCTATTTATTAGTTTACTTTAAATAATCAAAAATGATCTTTGTACCCACTCTTATACCCACATTTGTACCCACCTATGTTTGTGAAGGTTTTTTTGTCTGTGAATCGGGGCTCACAGACAATATTTTGCACAAACAAAATATTGTCTGTGAATCGGGTTCACAGACAAAAAAAAAATCTTCACAAACATGGTGGGTATAAGGTGGGTATAAGAGTGGGTACAACAAGCATTGTTGTTAAATAATCAATAAAATAGTATAAAAAACAATATGGAGGTCGCGGTCAGGAAGGGAACAAACAACTGGGGATTTGTCACAGAGAGAGTAGCCCGTTGCTGGACTGTCGTGACTTGAGGTTGATGCCCAAATGGCGTCGCCAATGGTATAGGTATCACCATGTCCACTTTTCATGGCGCACGGGGGATTTGTGTGCCACATGGCGCACGCGCCATTCTGCGCCATCAACAACCATGAACCGGGATAACCCCATTCAACACGTGCTCCTTATGAGCATGCTAATCCTACCCGGGTTTGTTTTTGACATCAAACCTAGCCTATAGTACTGCTTGCCCTTAACCGTTAGAATTGAGCTACCGATAGTGAAAAATTCAAGCAAAGTTTCAGGGATACTATGTTTTGATAAAAGTACTCTATGTGAGGAATCCCCTAATTGCCAACATGAACGGGTTGGATGAAGAGTGTTAGATTTTATATAATCAATCCATAGGTACAACAAAGACAGGAATTGGTATTAAATCATATTTATGTGCATATTAGCCCACAAGTTATAGAGTACAAATCAAAGGGAATGAATTAAATGTTTAGGTGTCGGAAATATGACTAGCAAACAAAAGATATGAAATACAACAATATACTCCGTAATACAATATATAAATGCTAACAAGAAGAATACAATATTGTTTTTTTTAAAGTGGAAGGTTCAGGCAGCACAAGCCTACTCAAGCATCTGAGGTCTCCTATTATCTCTGAAACTTCTGAGTTTCATCGGCAATGATAGCAACATCTACTGCAAAAGTTCTTTAATTTTTTGTTCCCTTTCATTTTGCCTTTATGATTGGTGTAGAAAAAACCTTTCTTTTAATCCCTTGTCTAACTTTGATGGCATTACATTTCACTCATTTGTGAAGGCCTATTATAGGGCTGAAGACAGTACAGACGAAGTGACTGCTGGCAAAATTAAGACCACGTCAACCAATCTGGTGTTGGTGGCAAGTGCGGAGGATCTCCAAGAGTTACCTAATAATAATAGCATTGACAGTAAAAGCGAGACAGAAAAAGACTTGCAGGAGTCGAAAGTAATGAATATAGATGAGGATAGGCCCGAAGAACTCTGAGATGAAGTGCCCGCTAGTAAAACTGTAACCATGTGCACCAGTGTAGCGTCTGTGAGTGATGAGGAGCCACAAGAATCTCTCGCCACAAGTAATAGCGGTATCTGTGAAAGCAAGACAGAAGGCCTGGAGGATAATATAATGAATGACTTGATGATGTCCAGACATATGTTAGAAAAACATATTATCTCAGCCAATTCAAGCGTACAAGAGAATTTGGATTTGCATGTATTAAAAATTTCCATAAATCCTCTTCAACTAGGCATGGACCTGGGCCGGGTCGGGGCCGGGCTTAGGCCCGGCGGGCCTTTGAGTTTTAATGGGTAGACCCGGGACCGGCCCGGGTATCCACCGGGTCCGGGTTGGGTCGAATGTTTTTTTTTTTCTTTCCTAACTACCCCTGACCCCCCCCCCCCCTCACCCCCCAAACCCAGACCCCCCTAAAACACCCAGCACAATCCAATGGAAACCCAAAAATAATGAAAAAAAAAAGAATTGGGCCCGGTCGGGTCCCCATTTGCCCTACCTGTGCCCGCCCCCCGCTATCCCAGTATCCCACTAGTTCGGGTCACCACCCGGTCCTGGACCGCTAGACCGGGCCCGTCCCGGGCCCGCACAGTAGCGGGCCGGGCTGATTCACAGGTCAGGTGGCCCGAACCGGGTCCACCACTATCTTCAACCAAAAAAAAAATCCATATATCAATGTGCGTAATCAGGCCTGCCCTGCATATTAGCAGGGTGTAGCCAGTAGGCCTGAGACCAGTGCGGTTCTTACTCAAAATTGGTGGAACCGTTATAAAAGTTTTAACTAATGAAATCGGTTCGATTCTTATGTAAAAAATCAAGAACCATTATGGAATCGAACCAATTCTAAAAGGTCTGGTTCTTACTTTTATCGGTTCTTCGAATATTTTTTTCCCTCATCTAACAAATGAGCACATTATTTACTTTCTACCACATAAAAATTTAAAGAGAAAATCAAAGACAAGTATTAAAATTTTATTTAAAGTTTTAATAACTTCAAACATCAAAACTCAAACTTAACTAAGGTGCTGTTCTGTTCGTCTTATTCTTATTACTTATTGCTTATTCTTATTTTATTCAGATCAGATCAGATCAGATCAGAAAAATTCAGATCAGATCAGATCAGATCAGAAAAATTCAGATCAGATCAGATCAGATCAGAAAGATTCAGATCAGATCAGATCAGATCAGAAGCATTCAGATCAGATCAGAAACATTCAGATCAGATCAGACCAGATCAGAAGCATTCAGATCAGATCAGAAACATTCAGATCAGATCAGATCAGATCAGAAAAGTTCAAACATGATTTTTCACTTTTATTATTATATTAAATATTAATTATTATTATTATTATTATTATTATTATTATTATTATTATTATTATTATTATTATTATTATTATTATTATTATTATTATTATTATTATTATTATTATTATTATTATTATTGTTATTACTATAATGATTATTATTATATAATTATTATTAATAATATTAATAATAATATGATAAAAAAAGATATTAATAATAGTTATAATTTTTTAATATAATAATAGTAATATAAATGCAATTGTTAAGAAGACTATTATTATGACAACATTATAATAATAATAATATGATTAATATTATTATAATTATATGTAATTATAATTATAATTACAATTATAATTCTTATAATTATAAGTATAATCAATTGTAATTATTATAATTATATCTATAATTAAATATATTTATAATTGTAATTAATTATAATTATAATTACAATCATAATTATAATTATGATTATAATTATAAATATAATATAATATTATAATAATATAATACTAATTATAATAATAATCATATTATTATTATATTATTGTAATAATAATATTAATATAATAATATCGTTATAATAATATTAATTGTATTTATATTACTATTATTATATTATAATATTATAATTAATGTTAATATAATTATAATTATTATTAATTATAATTATAATAATTATAATTATACTTATAATTATATTATAATAATAATTTATGATTATAATTATTATTTTTATTATAATTAATATTAATATTATTATTATTATTACCATTGTAATTATTTTATGGAGTAATTATAATAATATTGATAACTATAGTTACAATTATAGAGATAAATATTGTAATTATAATTACAATTATAATTATAATTTTATTTAAATTATATTTGTAATTGCAATTATAATAATAATTATAATTATAATTATAATTATAATCATAGAAATATTCGAATCAGATCAGATCAGAAAGATTCAGATCAGATCAGAAGGATTCAGATCAGATCAGAAACATTCAGATCAGATCAGAAACATTCAGATCAGATCAGAAAGATTCAGATCAGATCAGATCAGATCAGAAAGATTCAGATCAGATCAGATCAGATCAGAAAGATTCAGATCAGATCAGATCAGATCAGAAAAATTCAGATCAGATCAGATCAGAACTTAAAAAATTCAGATCAGAAACATTCAGATCAGGCGAAGAGAACAGCTTCTAAGTGAACTTAATAGAATAAAAGAAAGTTTCAATATTCATTTAATTGGTAGAACATAAAAATCGTAGTTTAGATATGAAGGTTGTTCATCATCACAGTAGTAAGATATGATATCCACTCCAAGTCTTTCAAAACCTAAAGAAACATTGAGTTTGCCTGTATAATAGTTATAGAAGCATCATTACAATCTAATTGCTAGTAGTATAATGTACAATAAATCTAATAGTTACAAATATCATGATGATAGTGAAGTAAAATATATGCAATCAACTACAAGTTATTTGACTTAGTTTATATATACAAAATATCTATGATTTAACAAAACTTGATTTTGTAAAAATGAGCTTAACAAATTCAATCTCATGTGCAAATATTGATTACTTTTGTTTTTGTTGGTTAAATTAGAATTATTGGCTAAATATCATTTTGATGGTTCCTTAGCGGTTCCATGCACATATTTTTTAAAGGAACCAGGAACCGAACCGGTAGTAACAACTAGGAACCGAACCATTAACAACTAATACCACATTTGTAGAAACCGAACTGAACCGGGTTATAACGGTTCGGTTCCAACTGGTTCTACACTTCTACGGTTCCCGGTGTGAAAATAATGGGAAAGCGTGACTCCAATAGGAGCCCTAGCAGGTATATTTATAATAAGCAAGAGTTTCCAAAATACACAAGATTCCTAATTTATATTAACTATTACACCCCCTCAAGCTGTGTGGGAGATACAACGCGTAGGTTGCCTTTTAAAAAATGAAACTGCTGACTAGATAAACTTTTAGTAAAAATGTCTGCGAGCTGAAGACGTGTAGGGACATATTTTACTACTAGATCACCATGAGCAACTCTCTCGCGAACAAAATGATAGTCAATGTGGATATGTTTGCTACGAGCATGCTGAACGGGATTAGCTGTCAAATACGAGGCAGAGACATTGTCACAAAACAGTTGGACGGGATCCTGAAATGCAAAACCAAGTTCGAACAAAATGGAGCATATATGAAGGGTGTCTTGAACAGTATAAGCAATAGCGCGATATTCTGCTTCTGTAGACGATTTGGAGACTGTAGGCTGCTTCTTGGACTTCCAGGACACAAGATTAGGACCCAAAAAAATAGCAAAACCTGTAGTGGATCGAGAGGTATCTGGACATCCCGCCCAATCTGCATCAGAGTAGGCCAAGATGCGAATGGGTTGATCGGATCGCTGTAGCCATAGTCCATGATCAATAGTTCCCTGTAAATAACGAAATATGCGCTTCACAGCAAGCATGTGAGTAGTGTGCGGGGCATGCATGAATTGAGACACTAAATGAACTGCATAAGTAATATCAGGTCTTGTCAAAGTTAAATACTGCAATGCACCTACCATACTACGATACTCAGTAGCATCAGCAAGAAGTTCACCATCAGTGAGGGAGAGAGTGGTACGAGTAGCAACAGGAGTACGAACAGACTTGAGAGTGTGGAAGTGAAAACGAAGAAGAAGATCAGACACATATTTTTGTTGAGATAGGAACACTCCTTGAGAATTTCGAGTGGCCTGAACGCCCAGAAAATAATGAAGATCACCAAGGTCTTTCATGGCAAAGTGAGACGCAATACAACTAATGAAAGAGGAGACAAGAGATGGAGAATTACCAGTAATAATAATATCATCCACATATAATAATAAATAAATAACGGACTGATCTTGACGAAAGATAAACAAGGAATTATCAGACTTACTACACACAAAATTATGAGTAAGAAGGAAACTACTAAACCGGTGAAACCATGCCCGCGGGGCCTGCTTGAGACCATAAATGGCCTTTCTTAAACGATACACATGATTAGGAAATTGAGGATGTACAAAACCCCGCGGCTGACGCATATAGACTTCTTCAGTAAGATAACCATGAAGGAATGCATTTTTCACATCTAATTGACGCATAACCCACCCAAAAGAAATAGCAAGAGTAAGAACAGTACGAACTGTGGTGGGTTTGACTACCTGACTAAATGTTTCAGAAAAATCTACCCCAGCCTGCTGATTAAAACCTTGAGCGACTAAACGTGCTTTATGGCGCTCAATGGATCCATCAGAATGAAATTTAGTTTTATAAATCCACTTAGACCCAACCACATTTTTAGTGCCATCAAACGGAACCAGATCCCAAGTATTATTAGAAATAAGTGCATTAAATTCATCTGCCATAGCCTCTCGCCAAATTAAATGTTTTTGTGCCTCAGAATAACAAGTAGGATCTGCTGCATGAACAACTGTGTTTAATGTGAAAATTGATTTAGGTTTAAAAATACCGGACTTAGCCCGGGTTTGCATAGGATGAGCATTCAATTGGGAAACTATAGCACTAGTCATGGGAAAGGACATCGGGCTGGCTGACTGTGAGTTGCTGGCCGAGGAAATTGGAGAAGGATAATGGCGGGCTGGAGTGAGAGGCGGGCTGGCAGAGATGTCCGAGGTGGTGGAAGGCGAGGATGGTGAGTCGGTAGAAGGTAGAGAAGGCCGAAGGCTGCTGGTTGGATGGTCATGGATAACTGGGGTGCATGACAGACTGGGAGAGGGACTGGTGGACGGGCTGCTGGGTGGTGGTACTTGATTTACGGGACTGCTGGACGGACTGGTGTGGACCGGGAGAGGTTGGACGAGGACTGGCTGGAGCGGTTGGAGAGCGCGGGTGGTTGTTGGCCTAATTTATATTAACTATTACCCGGTTCCAAAATCCCACCCCTAGTAGTCAGGACGATGGGTGGGCCAGGTTCTTAAAATATAAAAACACAATTAACTAAAGTACATTACAAAATTAATCAT